CTAGGATTTAAAGCCTCTCTCTTACCTGGCACTGGATCTAGAGATTAACACCTCACCAGGAGCCTGCCCACAAGATGCAGAAGGCTTTCCTATTTCTCCCTGATACTTTTCTTGCAAACCCAGGTTTTGTACTAGCTTTTTTTTTTCCACAGCTTGCCTGTTGAGGCAATTATACACAATGACAGAATCCTCCTTTGAATTGTTGTTTTGTAGGCTAAAACCTGTCATCTTCTAAGAAGAGATTGCATTCCCCAGTCTCTCATTTAATACCTGGCATTTAGATGTATGAAAAAGCACCTTGTCAGATCATGACCATTTAATCAAATGTTCCACATCACCATTCAAAAGTTATTTCTCCTTTTCAGTATTTTTTTGCTTCACAGATCTCTAAATCCTGACAGATTTTTTCAGCAAGGACTCTATGACACTATTCAGACTTTTCATGTAAATACAAAATAATATTTTACCAAGAGCTGGTCCTGCTCTTCCAATGAGAACCTTGATATTTCCTCATTATCAGCAACACTTCAGACATATTTGCAATCCTGTTTTAGTCAATGTAACCTGTGCTTTTCTGTTCTAATATCAAGGGACTCTAAATCTAGTGTCTTGGAGAAATAAAAGTAAAATAAAGCAATGCAGCTGTCTTTTGTAAGCAGAAGTAATTTTATGAAGAGAGGAAAAAGAAATAACTTCATCTGATTGGGCCAAATTTCCATGGGATCATAATACATTATGGTAGTCTTACTTTTGTTCTTAATTCTTTATTGAACCACAATTCCACTGTTTTCACTAATGATATTTCATCTAAAATTCCTTAGGCCTAAAAGAATCTGTCTGTAGTTGCTCTAGTATTTAAGTTGTTCTAATATTGAATATTTCCAGTCCTCTGGACCTTTGAATACTTGTTCCATCCAAGTTCTTTAGGTTGTTATGAGGAATTTAGTTAGTGCTTCCTGACTAGTGGTGTACCAGGAAATCTGACTGAATGATCTGACAGTCCCTTCCGACCATAATTTCTATGAAATCTTTGAAGCTGGCTTTGGCAATATTACAAAGGAAATCTGTAAGGAATGATGAACCATTCTTGACCAAGACTTTGCACTGCGGTTGAGCCTCCAGCATGACGAAGAAAACCTTTGATCCTTAGGAATTTTACCTTCACCATAGACATTTCTTGCAGCCAAATCTATTTTTTAAAACATTCACAGCATCACTAGAATTTCAAGGCAAAGGCTAATTTCATGTGATTTATTATATTAGCCTTCACAGAAAAAAATGAGTTTCCTAGAAAATTAGTTTCCTGATGTATACTGGTTTATACTAGCAGCATAAAATGCTTTTCAAACTCCAACAGTGTTACTCTTGTAATATTGCTCCCTCATGTTTGCCATTGCACTTTTTACCAAAAAAAAGAAAAGAGAAAATTGAAAAGAGAGAAAATTTTGTTAATAAATGAAATGCTCCTACTTTTTTATTTATATCACAATATATAGACTATAAACATTAAAATATTATATATTGTATATGTAACGTAATGTGTGCCTTATGATAATACACATGCAAATATACACACTACATACATTATACACATATAATGTGTAATATATTAATGTGTAATATATCAGATCTATTAGCTCCTCCAAGGACATACTGATATTACTGTCTATAGTGTACATGAAGCATGAAGAAATTTCCCTGATCAACTTTTGGCCCAGTAGGTCAGGCAAGGACAGAAGCTTCTGCTGGCTCTGCACAGAATGGTTCAGCTACCAATATATAGCTGGTACTGGTGTGAGTTCAGTAGTGCTCAGCTGAAGTATAAAAGCGTGAGGTTGTTTCACCAGAGTCCCTAGTCTGGGACAAGCAACTGCAAATCTGCACTGTCTGAACCCTCCCTTAGGGCTGATGCTTTTGTGAGCTGTTCTCACCCCCAGGAAATGTCCTCCTGAAGCTCAGCTCAAATTCTAGCATTTCATATAATTAAATGGGCTGACATCTGATCCCCTTTTTTATGTTCTGCTATTAACCAAGGAACAGAAAGCTGCCTGGATCAGTAAATTTAATGCAAAATCAGTAGAAGGTAATTTCGATAGGTACCATGAGAAAGTTGAGATGATCACACCTTATATGGCATAATGTTTCTAGTATTGATATTACCTATCACAGTGCACTGGAAAATACATTGTTTTACATTGTTTTGCTGACTCCGCAGATACATTAACAAGTCCAAGATGTGCCAAAATTACCAACCTCTTCAGCTGCTTGCTTGCAGTCCTTGGAAGAGGCCTGAATTGGCTTTAAGTCAAACCAGTGAAGTCCCCTCTTCTGCCTTGTAAGCCATATTTTCCCAGAAGGGTCTTGGCTCCAAAAACCACTTCTCAGGAAACCATTCCCATGTGCCAAAGCTGAGCACTGGCCCAAAAAACCTGGACCACTCCTGTGCTGTAGAGTGTGTCAATTAGTCACATTAAGCATTTTGGGGAAAGTGATTGAAACTTAAATCTAGGAGATGAGTTGTAAGAAACAGAAAGATTAACCCTGTCTCACGGTTGATTATACTTGGCTTGTGTTGATGCTAAAGATCATCTGGTTTCTGCAGTGTGCTCCTTGGGTCTTCAGGTTCAAGGAGCCCTAGTTCTCTCAGGTGCTGTATCAGACTTTTGTTAGCACTTCAAGAGGTCCATTAAGTGCTTGGAAACGTCTGATCCAATGGATTTTTAGGATGTAGCTTTGATCCAGCAGGGCCAGTGATGGGTTAAGTTAACACAGGCACATATTGAATATATTTGGAAATGTAGGAAACACGGTGCTCTCCAGGACTCTCAGTTCCAGGAGTGTTGTGTGGAAGACTTGATCCTGTACAAAGCTGTCTTGAGACTACAGACGTGCTGGGCAGTGCCCCAGGGGATGGCTTTCCCTCAGAAGAGTTCGCTCCATGCAAAGCCATCGTTAGAGCCTCTCTACATATGATGCAGTTAAACTGCAGCCAAGATAAAACTCTTAAAAATAATCAAGAGTTGATAATACTCTGATTTTTTATAGCTGATGTTTAATTTGTGCAAGAATATAAGACATATGCAAGTATCACTCCCACTTGTCCATGGGCAAATCTGCAGGAAACCCACTTTTAAAAGTGGAGTTAGAAGGCAGACTACAATCTCTTCACAGATGCAGAGCTCCCTTTAGGCTCCATGATCTGTCTGATGGAAATACCAGTTCAGGTGCAGATAGTGGGGGTGGAGGGAAACCATGTTCTCTATTATTTACACATCTCTAATTTCAAGCTCCAGTTTTTCGAAGTAAAATAATTTGCCCCCCACATAGCATTTGTTTCTGGAACTTATTATCTGCTAAGTTCAGCTGGCATTCAGATAAGGATAATTTAATTAGACATCATAGTAATCATACATGCATACTTACTGCCACAGCAGGGGGTGGCTTCTTCAAAACAAAACCCTTCACATATTACTTTGGACAGAATGTTTTCCCTGAAAGATTTCACATTGTATCCATGTATGTGTACATTACTTTCTTTTTCTCTAGAGTTCATATCCCATGGTGTTTTCTCTTTGAGGATTTTCATATTGTTTGGGAATATCCCTACCTAGAAAAACTTCCTGTGCTTCAGAGGTGTTCTTTTGAGAAAATGCTCATTTTACACTGATGGTCCACTTTGGAGAGGGTGATAACCTCGGGGGTTGCTCTGAACTGGAAATTTTCTCAAGCTTGACATTTCCCTGAGATCAAGGGGCATACACGCAGACGATATTTCTTTGGGAATCTGCCTGTTGCAGGGATGTCCTCCCTTATTCTGTGCTGCTTTGCAGTTTAGAGTGTCATCATATTTTCCATCTGAAAATCCAGGGAGAAGAGCATGTTTACAATAGTGACATTAGGAATAGTTTGAGAAAGCATTTAGTGGGAGAGGTCCAAAACTGAGTGGGAAATGGCTTTATGGTTTGTGCTGCTGCTTAGTATTTTGCCTGTTCTCATATTTGCAGATTCAAAACGTCTGCCAATTAGAATCAAGATGATGTCCAATAGATGAACAAAGTAAAATAAATGAAAATTTGTATGACTTAGTTCTGCTGAACTTTTGAGAGATTAAAAAATTGAATTTGAAGTGAAATCCAGCCTCTGCAAACAGCCTATACACTGGAAAACAGCTAAAATAAAACTTTTTGCAAAAACTTTTATAGTGGTTTGATTGCTCAAAAATCTGTGTTTGAATTGGAGACTGCAGTCAATACCCATGTAAAAGAGCCAACACATTGCACCGGAAACTTCATAAAAGCAATTGTGTAAACTGGAAGCTACTTGTTCAGGAGAAAATGGCTGGCAAAAGAAGCACAAGTTAAAATATTTAGGTTTGGCTGAAGTAGCTATGAGCTTGATCATTATATGTATACATGCAAGTAAATAGCTTGTGGGTGGGTCTAAAGCCAGTGTGAACCTTTATGTGGAAAATACTGCCTATGTGGGTATGGAAAAAAGCCCACTTAAACTATAATTATAGGGAATATGTGCAAATAAAACCTGAATATAACACCCACGTATAAAGGGTATTTCTTTTATACTTCTCTGAGTATGTTCCATGTTATTCTCAGTCCTAGGGCAGACAAGATTATGCTGTACTCATATTGTTACTTTGAATTAAACACATAAAGAAGTAAAATATTTTCTTAAAATACATAGAATAACAGTGAAAGAAAAAAACTATGTGCAACTGAAGTTAAATCAGATCTCACAGACTGTTACAACTTAATTTCTGAGTAGGAAACTTGGCTGGAATCACTGACTCCTTTTTTAAAAAAGTCAGCAAGATATATTATTTGAAAGAAAAATATCAGTGCAGTGAAAAATCTATTCATTTCACTTACAATTTTTTGGGGGTATGACATGAAATCTGTTGATTGAGTTTCTCTGAAGTAGACAGGGTAATGGGGCTGAATTCACAAAATACTGGCATTGAGGAGGTTTCATTTCTCTTTTTTCAGATCCTTCCTGCTCGTAGCATTCTCACAGCTGGGTGAGAAGAGATCTGGGAACACTCTGGCTGTGCACTCGGTGTATCATCTCTGGTGCTCTGGAAGTCCACATCTGTGATCTTTCAGCAGATTCTGTCTGTGACACACTGGCTCAAGGGATGTCCAAGTGATGTAAGTCTCAAGAGCAGCATGAACATATATAAAGAGAAAGCTATAAAGCTCTTAGAGAGTGTCCAAAGGAGGGCAAGGAAGATGGTGAAGGGCCTGGAGGGGAAGCTGTATGAGCTTGGTCTGTTCAGCCTGGAGAAGAGGAGACTGAGGACAGACCTCATTGCAGTTCCAACTTCCTTGTGAGGGGAGGAGAAAGGACAGGCACTGATCTCTTCTCTGTGGTGAGCAGTGACAGGGCCTGGGGAAACAGCACAAAGCTGAGTCAGGGAAGGTTTAAACTCAGCATTAGGAAAAGGTTATTGACACAGAAGGTGGTTCAGCACCCCAGGGAAGTGGTCATGGCACCAAGCCTGACAGGGTTCAAGAAATATTTGGACAACACTCTCAAGCACATGGTTTGATTTTTGGGACTGTTCTGCACAGGGCCAAAAGTTGGACTTTAGTGTTCCTTGTGGGTCTTTTCCAACTCAGGATATTCTATGATTCTATGATTAGCATTAAGTAGCTGCCACTGGACAGCAAGCATGGAAACCAAGGATAGGAATCCTCCCTAATATTGGTTCCATTTTATTGTTACCTCTTGGCATCACACTAACTTCTGAAAATAAATCTATTTTGCATGCAGGAGCATGTTAGTTGCGGGATGCAGCCTATACAATTTTAAATAAATAACAATATCATGTCCACTGCAGCACAGTGCCATCAGTCTCCAGTTTCATCCTCATTCTGTAACACGGCAAAGGTGTTATCATCCATGTGAATAACAAAAAAGGATACACAATTATCAGAGGAGTTCTAAGGGTCATGTCAGTTCTAAATACTGGCATGACCAAGCATGAAGCAAATTGTGGATGAATAATGCCTTATGAAATGTACTACTTGGTTGATTAATAAGAATAAACTAGAGCTGATAATATCCATAATTATATTGCATTTACAGTACTCTAGACATTGCATAAATACCTCTGAACATATGATATTTCTTTCTTAGAAATACTATAGTATAGTATTTCTTAGTAAAATACTATATATATAGTATTCATAAGTACTATATTATATATATATTATATATTATATATGTTATATATATAATATATAGTATTTATAAACACTATCTATATACTATATATTATATAGTGTGTATATATAATAAACACTACATATATTATATAAATTCTAAATGTAGAGTATTTCTTGGAAATATTATTGTAGCTCTTTCAAAAATTAGCTCTCTTTTTCAGTGAGGGAAACACTCCTCCTCACCTTTCCCAGATTTTTTGGAGGAGGCTGAAATCTCACTCACAGAATCCTGAAATCATTGCCTGTTCTCTGCTCTTTGAGGACATCTTTAATGGAACCATGCCTTCCCTTTATTGGTTCCAAAGTCTTTTTTCTCCTAACTTCATCTGCAACATTTAAAAACACTCAGCACCACATGGAGGCTGGGGGTCTAATAGTACAGATATTTCACACTAATATGCATTTGTTGAATTTGCTTTAATGCACGAGTCCTGAGAAATTCTGTCCTACAGATCCAAGAGGATGTAGGGTCTTGTCTACTGCCTGGGGCAATAACCACACTTTCTTATGGGATGTGCCAAGCTTTTGTGCAGACATTGCAGATCCTGTGGCTCCCATGTGTTTGGGAGATGAGCTCTCCGTGCTAGAGAAGTGGTAGTTCATGGGTTAAGTGCCAGTGGGCAGATTTAGAGAAGGTGTTTATATCAGGACCTATGTTACTCACACTATGTCAGCTCCTTTTTGAAGATGATAATGTGTTATTCTTTTTATTAAAAAAGTTTTTAAAAAACAGGGATAAAAACACCAACCCAAACTCAAATAGTTTACCTAGAGTGAATTCCACATGTGAAATCTTTAAAGTCTAGATATCTTCCTCTCATGTGCACATGGACAATAACTTTTGATTGAACTGAAAAAATAATCACTGATGCAAATATTTTGGCCTGCCCTATTCCATACACAAAGGTTAATCATCCTAATGCTCCTTTCTGGTAATGTGCTTGTATTTATCACCAAGTAGTATGTGGGATCAGTTAGAAGTTAGCTCATAGGAAGAGTGAAAAAAATCTCAGAGTGAGGATGACTACAGTAAAAAAGAAACAAGCAAGACATGTAGAGGAAATATGATGCACTTTTATACTGGGTTGGTAAATAGAGGATGAAAACAATCTTACAGAAGATACAGAATCTTCAGTTTTCCTTTAGAGCCCATTCTTCCCTCAAAACATGCAAAATAAGTGCTTAGGAGAAAGGAGAAAAAAATTACAGTTGTAAAGAAAGTGACTAGGCAAGTACAGGGCACTGAATCCAGCATGGAGGACTCCACTCAACTCTTTGAAGTTACACAGATGTAGTATTGCAGCAGTGAATCAAGCCCAAACAGAGGCAGGCTTCTCAATGTTGCAGTTTAACATTCTCATGTGGTTGCTACTGGTTCCAGATGGCAATTAGATATTGAAAAAGAGTAACAGGGCTTCTGCTTGTCCAGCAGAAACCAACTGAAGGTTTTTAATGGGACCTGGTATTTCTCCTGAAGGAAGTATGAATTCTGGCAGTTAGAGCAAGAGACCCATATTATTTACTAGTGTAAATCAGCAACACTCTGGTGGAGCTACAGCAATTCACACCAGCTGAGATTCTGACCTATTAGAGTGGATTTATACAATAACGTCTGCCTTGAGCCAAAGATTTCAGAGTTCCAGAGGCTGTAATATTGTTGGCCTGTCTATGAACAAGAAAAATGAGGAAGATACATACAACATGCAACAAAAAAAGTTGTCCTGAAGGTCAGTTCTTGGAAAGGAAGCAATCTTGCATTCAAAAGGAAATTAAAGGCAAGGACCATAAAATAGACCTCTTCCTCTGAACTCTCTAACTTACTTTTGGTTTTTCTTCAAAGGCAAACAAAATGTTAATGTAAAAGCCAATGTCTCATTTTCTGGTTTGCTCTGGCTCTTGCACCACACCCTACATTAGCAGGATCAGATGGGTATCCAGTAGCACTTTAAAGCTATGTACCACGTGTGGTTCTTGCTCTTTCTTTCCCTAAGAAGTTGTGCACAGATTTATGTAAAACCCCCTTTTTTTGATGTTTTATTATGTGTTTAGTAGAGAAGTGAGGTTGGGGGAGTTTCTTTTGCATTTGGAAGAGAAGTTAAAGAGGTATGTGGGATTTTTTGGTGCAACAAGCATTCCTTCTTAGACCAGCTTCCAAAAGATCTGTCCCCCACCAACAGGTTAATTCTTCTGTAGCTTCCCTTCAATACTGTCAAAAATCTAACAAAAATATGAAGATTCAAATAAGGACTAAGTTATTCAAGATGAACTCAGAGGAAAGTCATCAGAAAAATGGTTGGCTTTATAATGGGTGACCTAAAAGCTGGATCTGCAAAAAGGTGATAGTCTCGCAGGGATCATCTTCACTGAAACTGCTAACAGCAGTTAGGTAGGCAATAAATACACAAAACAACTTCAGGACCTTCTTGACACTGTTATGTGTAAGTCCTCAATACCTATGGATCTGCAGATGGCTGCATTTCTGAAATATATCTACCCTTAAGACTAATCAGTATTTATTATAGGTTGCTATTCTCACTACTAACAGACTGAGAACTCAAATCCTTGCTCAAGTGCATTGAATAAGAGAAGTTCTCAAATGCCAGGCAAGAAGACATTCTCGGATTCAGTGTCTCAGATACACGGAGACATTGAAAAAGTACCTGTCACTTATTGGATAGGATACGTTTAAATGTGGTACGAGAATAAACAAGAGCTGCAGTTCTAATCCCAATCTCCCCACCTTCCCCAACAAGTGATTCAGGCACCAGACTATAGAATCATGTCCTCTTTCTTATTCATTGATATTTATTATTTTAGACAGATTGGTGCAGCCTTCTCCAGAAGAAATTGAGTATCCCACCTATGGATACCTTACAGATCATATCAAGGACAGTCTACTGGGAGTGAACATCGTTTTAGGCAAGAGAGGTAGTAATCTAGATCTCATGTGCTTCAAGGAAATGCTTAAATTTCCTTTTAGGAAGGAAATGGGGGCTTGTTGCTATCCCTTTACCCAGCCACATTCAGGAAGTGAGGGTCATTATGGACACCTCCCACTAGGGGAGGTTCAGAGTTGAGCATTTTTACCTGACCTGGGAGTCTTCACACCACAGATATCCTTTGGCAGGAGTTTCAGCTCTCCAGCAGGCTGCTCCCTACTAAAGAGGGCAGCTTTTGTCAAACCTGGTGTAAGAACCTGACTTCACCCAGCAACTGTTGATTAATTTTTGCTTGTACTAACAGATAATGCCTTTTCCTAAGTAGCAAGATGCCTAAACATATGGTTGTATCAAGCTGAGAAAAAGGCTGTACGGGATTGTCTTTTTCCAGTAAAAGCATTATTTCATACAATTCATTGTGCAAAGTATAAAAGCTATTTTTAAAGAAGCAAAAACAAGCTTGTATCACTGAGATCACTCAGAAAATAATGAGTTATTATTTTTCAGGGATGGAAAGAACCTTGAATGAAATGCTCAGACAACCCACCATTCTGCAGCAACACATAGTATCTAGAACCCAAAGTTTAGGCTTTCTTTTATGTGAATGTTATTCAGCATTTTCTACATTTTTTCTATTCCTTTCTCAGTTATTTCTGACATTGTGCTTGGTACTCTGTAGCTGCTAAGCACTGATCTGACATTTTCACTGAACTACCCACAAGAGACAAAAACTACCAGATCTCTTTTTCAGTGATAATAGCTTATCTAGAACTGATAACTGAGTTTGTGCAACCAGGGTTCCTTGCCTCATGCATATTACTTTGACATTCATAAGCATTACTATTACAGTACAATTATCTCTCAACCCTACCATGTCTCTGACAGAATTTCTTCTAATATGTTGGGAAAAAAAATTTATTGCTATTTTTTTATTCCTTTTGTGCGCTGTTCCTTACAATCTTTTTGGCCAGCTTTATTATG